TCATCAGGAGCAGATGAGCTTGGCTCATATAGCTATTACCGCATATCGAAGCCTGAATTATAATTCTTCTGTGTCTCTCTACTTTGTCAAAGTGGATCATATAGACGTCTAAATCATCTTGTATTGAAAATTTGTCACACATTATAACTGTCACTTCAGCTATATTGCCAAAGAGATGTGACTCGACGGGATGGGCGAATATCTACCGCATTCAAACAGGCTGCTCGGTGAGAGAGCCTCTCGATGGAGCAGAAGTACGAGCTGGCTACAGTGCCGCCATGCGAGGAGGGTAGAGGCTAGCCTGCCGGCCAGCTCCCTAGAGGTCTCCGACGACGACCGGATGATGGAGGCAATCCTGCTTGTGTTGTTCCATGTCGGCTTGCCCATGGAGCAGGCGCAGGCGCATGCGCACTGCAACGCCGACATGGCGGAGGAGAAACCAGAGCTGCAACCGATGTCGGTGTTCCAACACACACAAGAGAGGAGTAGCGGTACAACCTCTTCCTCCTCAAGCGCCACCTGCTGGTGGAGGCTCAAACATACGACGAGCTCGCGAGTGAGGAGGCCATGACAACCATGGCCACGGAGAACCCAAACTTCGTCATGGAGCACCGGGCGATGTACGAGGTCGCGCACGCTCGCGCGCCTGCAACACTGTCACAACTCAGTCGAACATGGTGTCAACTGTGCTTCGTTGGCGCCGCTATGACGATGAGGCTGGCCCGTCCACATCCAGCATCGACTTCGCGTCCACTGGCGGCGGACAGTTTGGGCCTCAAGTCTCGAGTGGGTTGGTCCGTGTCCAATATCCTACTCTTACTCATTGGCGACCACACCTTCATTTCATGGGTCTTATCTCCGTCAGACATGGACATGGTCGCCTGCCATGAGCATGAAGGGGAACAACAAGGACTTGGAGGATGGGGACTGTCATAGATCTAGAATAAGTTTAGGTCCAATCTTTTTTGTTTAATAAAATATGTTAGAAGGACTATCATGGGAAGGTGACGCCCATCGTCAAGGCAGTGACACATGTCGATAGACTTATACCCATTGACTTGTCGCTATTATGTGGCGGCTGAGCCACGCGGGCATCATCCAAGGTACCTGCATGTCCAGCAACGATGGTGAAGGTTTCATTCGCGCGAGAAACAAATGAGAGTTGAGTTTCTTATTTGCCCTTGTTAAAGAGTAGGCTTGTACGTAACGTGACAAGTGTCACGATGGGTATATTGCGTGGGTATTGCGTGCGTATTGTTGTGTATACGGCAGGTTGTTAGGCCAGATGATCTTATCTCTTGTATAGCTTGGAGTAGAGGTCAAGACTAGAAACAACCTGCCGATCTTGTAATCCTTCCTCTATATTAACACACACGCGTCCCTGCCAAGGTGCATACGCTTAAACCCTTTCTTCTTTCATGGTAATCAGAGCCTACCTCGAATTCATCCATGGCAAGCTCTTCGGCGAACTCCTTCCCTTCATCTCCGTTTGCACACATCGCAACAGAGAAGCTTACGAGAGGGAACGAAGCGCTATGGCGCGCCACCATGCTCTCGGCCATCCGGGGAGCACAAATGGCGTCCTTCCTCGACGTCGAGCAGGTGGTGCCCCCGATGAACATTATTGAAGTCGCCAGCGACGACGGCAAGACCAAGTCCAAGGCTCCCAATCCGGAGTTCAGTGCGTGGTATGCGTGCGATCAGCAGGTGTTCTCTTACCTGTTGACCACGCTGCCCCGTGAGATGGCCATCCAGGTGGCGACGTGCCACACCGCAGCAGAGCTGTGGAACACGATGGAGGAGATGCTTGCATCGCATACCCGTGTGCAGACCGTCAACATCAGAATCGCGTTGGTGATAACCCAAAAGTGTAGGGGATCGCAACAGCTTTCGAGGGTAAAGTATTCAACCCAAATTTACTGATTCTACACAAGTGAAGCTGAGGGAGTCCTGGACTAGGGGTGTCCGGACAGCCGGACTATCATCGTCCGCCGGACTCCAAGACTACGAAGATACAAGATTGAAGACTCCGTCCCGTGTCCGGATGGGACTTTCCTTGGCGTGGAAGGCAAGCTTGGCAATACGGCTATGTAGATCTCCTACCATTGTAACCGACTCTGTGTAACCCTAGCCCTCTCCGGTGTCTATATAAACCGGAGGGCTTTAGTCCGTAGGGGACAACAACCATTACAACGATCATACCATAGGCTAGCTTCTAGGGTTTAGCCTCCTTGATCTCATGGTAGATCCACTCTTGTACTACCCATATCATCAATATCAATCAAGCAGGAGTAGGGTTTTACCTCCATCGAGAGGGCCCGAACCTGGGTAAAAACATCGTGTCCCTTGTCTCCTGTTACCATCCGCCTAGACGCACAGTTCGGGACCCCCTACCCGAGATCCGCCGGTTTTGACACCGACATTGGTGCTTTCATTGAGAGTTCCTTGTTGGGGAACGTTGCAGAAAATTAAAATTTTTCCTACGGTTTCACCAAGATCCATCTATGAGTTCATCTAAGCAACGAGTCAAGGGAGAGAGTTTG